TCTCTAAAAGCAGTCGCGGAGGAAAGTGGTAGAAGCCAATCCCTTTCGTTGAAACCTTTCATTAGACTACCATGAACGGTAAAAAGTGTGATTACCCCACTTCCCATTTTCAAAAATTTTTTTTGCCAGGCGTATACAAAATCTGACACAAAAAGACGCAAATGAATATTATGCACCTTTTGCTTCCAAACCGCATCTCGGAAAACAATTCATGGGTGGAGGGGGACAATAAAATTTGAAGACTCTCTGCAAAAACCCAGCACAATTACTAATTTAATTATTCTAATTTTGTCATAGTCAGTATGCAGTTAATTTTGACCTATAAAAGGTGGCGTAAAAGTATTTATTGTTTTAAATGGTCCATTTGGCTCCAAAAAACATGTATTTGGAGAGTGCACACCATTTTTTTCCCGGCACAACTTTTGGCAGCCAAAAAAACCTCAAAATGTTTGGAGTTCTTTCAGTTTTTCGCTTAAACCTCGAAAACGGTCCATATTTAATGAATAACACTTATTTAGTGAAAAAGAAAACAAAATTCTGCGGTGATCAAAAGATGAACAAACAAAATCGGTCCGATAGAAAAATTTTTACAAGTGATCAAAGAACACCGATTTTTTCCAACTTTTCTAAAAAAAAAACTGAGTTAACCTTTTTTTAATGCGTTGTGGCTCCTTGCTTGTTTGTTTGTTCATCTTTTCACTTTTGGTCGACGCAGAATTGTGTTTTCTTTAATACCTATACTTACTAAAGAAGTTTTCTTCATATAAAATATGGACCGTTTTCGAGTTTTAAGCGAAAAACTGAAAAAAATCCGAACATTTTGAGGTTTTTTGGCTGTCAAAAATTGTGCCAGGAGAAAATGGGTGTGTACTCTTCAAATACATGTTATTTGGACCCAAATATGGACAATTTAAAACGATAAAATCGTTTACACCACCTTTTGCAGGAATCGCCCCTTCTGACTGCTCGGGCCGTAGCCAGATCAGTTACTAAGAGCGGGCAGGAAAAATATTAATAATTTTCTGTGTTCTGGTGAAGTAATTCGTTTTTAACGCAATCCACGAAAGTGGAGCGCTGATGACTTCACATTTCTGTCCGTCTGCGTGTTGTTCCGTAGTATAGCTCAGTCGCTAGACCTCATATCGACTATCAAAAATTGACTTTGGCATTCATCACGTGTTATAGCTCTAAATTGGTCAAAATTGTTATTTATGCACCAATTTTGTTGGGAAAACGATCAAGCTCGATTGCTCGATGACGAAGAAATGATACATGCCTATTTTTGGCGACCAAAATATTTTTATCGTTATTTATGCATCGATTCTCTTGGGAAATTCAATTGCGCAATGCCCAAGAAGTGATCCATGTGTATTTTTGTTCACAGAAAATGTCAAAATCGTTATTTATGTACCGATTTTCTTGGGAAGACTTCTAGTTTTCGCTATAAGAAAGCTTATGGTTCCAGATGGACAACTATCAAGAATTAATTTTAGTAGCAATCACTTTATTACCCAATATCGATCTAAATCCTTATTTAATCACCAATTTTTTTGGGAAAAAGACCAAACTCGGTGCCCAAGAAATGTGTGTAAGTGTATCGTATCGACTTAAAAAGTTGGAGGTAATTTGTAATTTGTACGTATTGCAGGTGGTAACAAAGATGATAAAATGATAATAATACAGGGTGAGTTTTTTTCATTGTCACCATGGGGATCTCGTACGAGATGCAAAGTCGCTTAAATGGGCAAAGTTACGCACGCATACTAGACTATAATAAAAAATGCTTTATTTTTGATAATGTGATTAGCTGAAACACACCATGTTCTTGTATTAGAATACCATGAAGGGTAGAACATGGGTTCCCCTCTCCTATTCTAAAGTTTAACTTGGCACCACTATGCATGCGTATGCAAAATCTGAGACCAATTGGTTGTCGTATGTAAAAGTTATGCACGTTTTACTTTCAAACCAGCACCTCAGGAAATAATTCGTGGGCGGCCCCCCTTTTAGACAGCGAAATTTGATGGCCGTCTGGCACACCTTCAAGTTATAGGCATACTGCAAAAAATTCCAGGACTCTAGGACCATCCCCCAGTAGTTCAAAACGGCAGAAGTGGGTCCGGACGGACAAAAACCCAAACCATAGTAAATTTTTTTTAATTTTTAAAAAATGCGCTAAAAATGGTTTTTGTGCACTGTTTTTACCACCCGTACATTAGTAAGGGAGTTATTGCATCGGGGTAAAAAATGACCCCCCACTTTTTTGACGGAAATGCACGTTTTGAAGCACCGGGAATCTGAATCAAACAAAATATCGATTATGTCTGTCTGTCGGTCCGTCTGTACTCTCATTTCCGAGTTATAAGTAGGGTTTCTGGACTATAGCCCAAGGCGCCCCTTTCGAGGGAGCGGCAAGATGGGCTAAATTATATTTTTTGCATTATTTGCAATTCCCCGCCTCTGTGGTTCTTGGTGAATTTTTTTTCAATATCAATACAGATAAATAACCGTCTGAAACTTGGTCACTAAGTAAACAATTTTACTAATACAAACATTAGTTACGGGGGCAGTCGAGCTAAATATACCCCAGGGCGCTAAAAACATAGCCCGGGGTCTGACTGTTGTACAGATTATTGAGAATGAAGTAAACATGCGATGCGTTCTTTACCCTTTAATTTTACCACTGAATAAAGAATCTGAACTTTATTCAATAACCGGCATAATAAATAAATAATTTAGCACCTGAGTAAGTAACGTTTTTTCATGTGAGGAACAGTTTTGGTTTAACCAAATTTTAACATCGTTGATTAGTTCGATTAGTTGACTGATTAGCAAAGGCGACCGGGAAGCAAATATATTTTGCTTGGTCTAACAAAAAAGTATAGTACAATTTTTTAAATAATGCAATCAACCAAATGCGCTTTATAACATGATAATCGTTATCATTATACAGGGTGTCCCTAAAAGGTCTGTACAACGCGCTACCAGGGGTTCTTGGTATCAAAATAGGACGATTTAACCCAACTTACCTCTATCCAAAAGTGCTTCGGTAAGGCGCTATCTACCGCCAAAGATTTAAAAAAAAAATCGTTATTTTTATTTTATCGGAAAATGGTTTTGCCGATTAAAATGAAATTCGGGATGTGAATGTCTAATGTAAAAAGGGTCTTTGTGATATCATCGTTTTGATTGTAGTTGCTATGTAGGTGGTAAAATACTGACCATCCACATCTGAAGAGGTCTAAAACTTTTTAACTACTATTTTGACGGTTCTGAATTTTTAGACACTGATAGACAGTTTACTTGCAAGCATTTTTTGTCTCTTGATGAATATCGCTATCTGTGATGGTTTACGAAAAAAAAAATTTAGGCATGATGAATGGCATGCACCATACATGCGATTGTTCCTCAAAAACCATAAGTGCAAGCAAGAAGTAGGCTATGACGATTTGGAAACCTGTGAGTATACTCCCTAACGCATTGGCGACCATTTCCACGACAGTATCCAAACACTAATAGCATATCAGTTAACTCTGCGTTACTGTATTGAAAGGCCATATTACAATTTTAACAATGAAATTTTAAGTCTTCAAGCAAAACGTAAATTGTTCAAGTTTAAGAAACAACAAACAAACGTTACGCCACTCTAAGGTTTCACAGCCATCTTCTGATTTTTTGAGGAACAATCGCATGTATGGTGCATGCCATTCATCATGCCTAAATTTTTTTTTTTCGTAAACCATCACAGATAGCGATATTCATCAAGAGACAAAAAATGCTTGCAAGTAAACTGTCTATCAGTGTCTAAAAATTCAGAACCGTCAAAATAGTAGTTAAAAAGTTTTAGACCTCTTCAGATGTGGATGGTCAGTATTTTACCACCTACATAGCAACTACAATCAAAACGATGATATCACAAAGACCCTTTTTACATTAGACATTCACATCCCGAATTTCATTTTAATCGGCAAAACCATTTTCCGATAAAATAAAAATAACGATTTTTTTTAAATCTTTGGCGGTAGATAGCGCCTTACCGAAGCACTTTTGGATAGAGGTAAGTTGGGTTAAATCGTCCTATTTTGATACCAAGAACCCATGGTAGCGCGTTGTACAGACCTTTTAGGGACACCCTGTATATTTTTTTGACCCATATTCAGAAATACAATAATTGTTTTCAAATTACGGCGTTTGGCGCAAGAAAAAAAGACAGAGTGCGTTTATTTTTTATTATTTTAGGGAGAGATGGGGAGATTTTGGGGCAAGTGTGTCAAAATCTCTTTTCCGGCTAAACGGTTGAACCGATTTAAACCAAATTTGCTACACATATTCTTAGACATAAAAGGGCAAAATCGATCATGCGCAGGTGGGGCGGGTGGTACTTGTGCTAGCCACAGAAAATTTTTTGAAATAATTTTTTGTTATTATTTATTCCAGTCCGAATTGAATAGGTATTCATAGCTAAGAACGAGGACAACGTCCGTCGGGTCAGCTAGTTTTATATAAAATTATAATAAACATTACCTTTTGCAGTAATAGAAAAAAAAACAGATGTAGGTACCTATGATTTGCAATTGTTTATAAGAATTTTTTCTTGATAACTACTGTACAAAAATTGTACTTGAAACTTGAAAGTGTAGTAGAGCTAGAAATATAATTATAGAACATTTGGTTGAAAATTATAAAAAATATATAGAGATGCAAGAAATAATCAATATATTGATAAATGGCAATAATTGAAGTTGATAAATTGTCGATAAATTAAGAGGTTTTTTTCTTTCGGCCTTGGGTGGTGTTGAAGTGAAGGTTTGTAGGGCCTGCAAACCTTCACTTCTATCGATAAATATAAATATGGTTAATTATCAATAGACCTCGATTATCGATCATGATCATAAAGAGTGAAAAAAATTTGGATCTTCTTTTACAAGGATTTTTTTTCACAGCTGACCATTTTCATAATAAGAAAAAGTAATCGATAATATTGATTGGCAATATCGATATCAAAAACTGATAATATGGATAACCAATATTATGGATAGTTTTATATTATCAATAGTTGATAGTAAATTTCTATTATCGCGCAGGTCTAAAAATATGGTCTCTGTTAAATACATACCAGTTCCCTTTGTGTTGTCTGTAACAACATCACACGATAAGCCAGTGCCAATTCGATTAAAGGCGGTAATGTATAACAAATATTTGGTTCCGCACCACAAATTTCTCAACATGTGTTCATCCGTTCGTGCCGAAATTTGAAGCTCCTCCCAATCTCCATGGTCTCTCTTATAATTAATTACATATCCTAGGATAGGGGATCCCCCATTTTTTTGGTCTGTCCACCGTAAGTGAAGGCTGTCGGTGAATTCTGCCACTACCGTTAACATAGGCGGATCGGGAGGAACTAACACCTTCAAACTGTAAACGATTTCGTCTTTACCGTGCTTATTTTCGACGCTGCACGAATAATTCGCTTGATCGATACTTTGAACGTCTTTGATTTGCAACGCGGCGTCCGTGGATATCGATCTACGGCCACCGACCTCCAACGGCAACTCGTTTAAATGCCATGTAGGAACTGGCAACGGATCTCCTACTCGTTTACAAGGTAGATACACAGTTTGTTTCCAGGCACTTACTATTTCTCTACCAAAAGACGCTATTTTAGCCGGAATCACTCTAGATGGTGTTACTGTGATCACACGCGTGCTGTCTCCTTCCCCAACCTGAAAGATGCACATTGTCTACCCGAGTTTAATAAAGAAGCAGGTACTTACCCTCGTTGATGCGGTAACCCAAAATTGATATGTGGCAGTTTCGTGTGATCTACTAACTTCGTGTGACTCATGTGTTGGGCTCAACACTTTCTTATGTGTTCCCGCTTCTCGTCCGTCCTCTAAGCTACTCATATAAAATGTATATCCTACTAGTATACCGTTACTGTGTTTAGGAGGTAGCCACGACACTAAAATTTTGTTTGTGGAACTTAAGATTGCTTTAATATCTGCAGGTGTTGATGGAACTAAGGCGTTATTTTTAGATTAATTGTTGTATTTTATAGAGAATTGTTACCGTCTTCTTCAGTATGGCAGTAAACGGCTTCAGATCTGACACCATCTCCACTTGCAGTATAAGCCAAAACAGTGATGCTGTAGTTAGTATATTTTCTTAGACCTGTTATTGTTGTGCGTAATTGTTGAATCACTTTTGTTTGTTGATCGTCCTTGTCTGTAAATTGAGGAAGTATTATTGAGTCGACTGGTGAATCGTTACCGTTACGGACCTAACCATTCACTAACGCAGTGATAAGTAACTTTGTATCCTTGAACAATTCCATTTTGGCCTTCAGGAAGAGGGGGTTCCCATGATATGTGTAAACTTTGTGCACTTAAAACTGAGCATTGAACTTTTTCTGGAGGCAGTGTGGGAGCGTCTTCCAAAGTTCGTATTGTTACTGGCTCGCTCGGTGGGCCAGATCCTCTGCTGTTGTACGCCTAAAAAGACTCATCACTAACCTACTGTGCGATAAAACTTCATACCTGGACAATAATATTATACGAAGCATACTTAGATAAGCCTTGAAGAGTTGCTTCACCACCAAAGTGTTGCCGGACCTCGACGCTCTTAAATGTATAACCCTGTGTTGGTATTACCGATTGGGATGGGAGTTCTTGATAACCCACATGGTACCCTAGTAGGTTTCCATTCCAGGTGTTCCGTGATGGTGGTTCCCAAATGACCAAAATTTCGGTGGAACTTTTTGCTTCAGCTCTAATATCCAAAGGAGGTCCGTTTGGCACTGATAATTTTATTAAAGCCATTATTAGTTCTTACAAAGTAATAGGTTACCTTCTTCAAGGGTGCTGACCTGAATAGTCTGACTCGGTTCACTAAGACCTAAACGATTTTCGGCTAAAATTCTGATATGATATACTTGAGCAGGATGCAGATTTGGCAGAGTGGCACTTTCATGAGAACCAGGCACTATTTGTTTGTAAGGTTGATTCGGCCACATATCTAAAAACTGAACTTAGTAGTAACTTCATATACTAGGACGGTAGTTAAAATTACCTACACCAAGTTTGTACTGGATGATATAATTACTAATCGGACTGTTTCCATTGTACGGTTTTATCCACGACAGTCCGATACTTCTTGGCAGTTGTTCCGTCACCCTAACATTTTTTGGAGATTCGGGTATTTCCTGAATTATTAAGTGTATGCTCATTTCGTCATGCCCATACGCGTTAGTGGCATAGCAAGAGAACACTCCCGAATCTTGTCTAATTGTTCTGTCAATGCCCAATTCCGATACCATACCTTCGGCTAATCCTTGCTGCCGGATGGAATACCTTTGGTCGCCGTCACTAGAGATGTGTTGACCGTCGACTTTCCATGTAATTTCCATCGGCGTATCTCCTAACGCCGCGCATTGAAGATGCGCTTGCTCTCCCTTTGCAATTTGCAGTTCTTTCGTTTTTTGCGGAAAATGAGCTGGAGCTGAAGAGAATTCCTTGATATTTGATATCTGTCAATTTATTACCCACCATTCACCTTCAAGAAAATTACTTTGCTGACTCCGGTTCCAATGTTATTTTTGGCTTCGCAAAGATAATGGCCCTCATCACCTTTTAATATGTGTGCGAAGTTTAACGATCCATTCTGATATTGGCGAACATTTGGTTCGAAAAGAAATTCTTTGTATTCGCCTGGTTGTTCTCCTAATTTTTCACAATGAAATTCTGTTGTTGTGTTTTGAAATAATCATGTCTTACCAACAGCTTTACGCCACGTAACCGCCGGATTTGGATAACCAACAGCTTGACAGTGGAGAATCGCCTCTTGACCAGAAGCAACATTAGCATCTGCTGGCTCAACTGTCCACCGTGGCGGTACTGAAAACTTTTCTTAATTAACATATCCTACGCCTAAATGAAATATTACCATTCACCGTCAATGGTACAATGTACTTTTCCGAGCCAGCAATATTACTAGCAACGCAAGTGTAATTTCCGCTATGAGTCGAACTAACTTTCTCTATGATAAGCGACGATGAAAATTCGTCAATTCTTCGCACTGAAGTGCCTTCGACTACGTTATTCGAAATCGTTTTTCCGTTTCTTTCCCACCTAAACGTTATCGGTAAGTCCCCTTCCATAATTTGACAGGTAATTGCAGCTCTCATTCCTTCCCTTAAAATATCAGTCATTGGATTTATCGGTATAATTTTCGGCGGTACTAAAATTGGATTTGGTTATTTGAATTGGAAAATGTACCAATCTACCGTTAATTTGAATTTCCAAATCACGTCTCGATGAATGTCGTTGCCTATTTTGAGCCTGGCAAGTATAAGTTCCTGCATCTTCAGTTCGTTGCGTTTGCTCTATCACTAAAGTGCCGTTTGTGTAAACGCGCTGTCTCCGATTTATCGGCAACATTTGACCGTCTCTCTCCCACGTAATTGTTTCAATGGGGTACCCTGCCACTGGACATTTAATAATCAAATTCATACCAGCCACTCCCGTAATTTTCGGCATCTCTCTGATAAACGGAAGTCCATAAACGTTCACGCGAGCACTGTGCGAAATTTTGCCAATGGTATTATGTGCCGTACAAGTATATTCGCCCCCGTCTTCCGATTTGATATTGCTTATATTTACGTGACTGATTACATCGTCCTGAATAGTCACGTATTGCCCAACTAAGAACCTCGAAGAATCGGGGATCGGAAAGCCGTCCAACGTCCAGGTAAATTGTGGAGGTGGGTTACCAGAAGCGACGCACTTCAGTGAGACCGTGGGCCCTGGTTGGAGGGTTTGTTCCGAAAACCAATAAATTAATTCTGGTCCCGCGTCTCCCATATCCAACTCCGAAATCGCTTGCGCTTGATCCCAATTATTGCTCACGATACATTGGTACATACCCCTGTCGTCTTTTGAGAGTTGTCGAATTGTCAGTCGAGGTGGATCAGCCATCATTTCAACCCTGCTGTCTGGTGCCACGGGTTTTGAATTATGTAGCCAACTTATCTGTGATATCGGGTAGCCTCCTACAATGCACTGGAAATTTGCTTCTTTTCCAACATCGACAATTTGAACCTGAGGCTGCACATGAACGGATAGCGGAGCCGTTACTTCTAACGTTACCCTCACACTTTCTTCCCCTGCTGAGTTATTCGCAAAACAAATGTAAGTTCCACGATCTTCTAGACGAACCTACAATTACGATTTAATGCGACATCGTCGACTTTGAGTTCGAGATCTCACCTTCGCTATTTTCAAAAGTCCGGCAGAAATAATGGTGATTCGTTCTCCTAAAGCGACAGGTACAGTTTGCCCTTGCAATTCGCGTTTCCAATAGTATCCAGGTACAGGACGTCCTTGTGCTACGCACGGCAGTGTTACGTCATCTCCTAGTGCTACCCGTCGAGCGTTATATTTATCCACCGTAATTCGTGGTTGCACATTTCCCTTCGGTTCCGTGATGATTACCCGTCCTGGGTATGCACTGATTTGTACTTCACCTACAAGAGTAAGACATATTTGATTAGCTTTGGAGTCAATTGAGAGCAACTTGATAATGCATTGTGAAGATTGTTTGAAAATTCAACGTAGTGACGATTTTTATAAATGTTTAAGATCCGATTGATATAACCTCCCCAATAAAAAATTGGGAGGTTATTGAAATCACTCCAAATTTCACCGGATCTTTACGTTTCAAAGTTCAAGGAGTCCAAAATAGGTAGTGCTTTTAAAAAATGTCTGTATGTACGCATGTGCGTATGTATGTGTGTGCGGCGTGATCTTGTAAAGAAGGTTCAGCCGAAATTATCCGGCACCGATTTGGTTAAAGTTTGAAACAAATGTTCCTTTCAATGATCTCGAGAGCGGAAATCCTTTTGAAAGAGATTTGAAACTGGCAAATGCCTTTTTGGAAATGAAATCGATATTCATTGAATTACCTATAGCTTTCTAAGCAGACCGACTTGGCTGACATTTTGTACCAATGGTCTCTGTTATGGTCCTGAAGATTTTGGACACGATTGGAAAATCGGAAATGTTCTCTGGCTATAAAATTAGTTCTATCGCATTGTCCAATTTGGTTTCTGTCCATCGTTCGAACCGTGAGATATTTGTTGCTTGGCCGCAAAAACTGTGGCAACTTTGCGGCGATTCACATACATCGGGCCATTCTCATTACCGTTTTATTTTTAGCGCTTTTTTTAAGAATAAAAACTGAAACTAGTTTCTATCCTTCATGGTTTGGTTTGGCTTGGTCCTTCATGAAAGGTCTCAACGAAAGGAATTACTTTCTACCAACCATAGCCCTCCTCCTCGACCTCTTATCGTGATCGGGTATATGCCCTTATGCCTCAAGAACGAATTGTCGGTAGAGGGTACTCTCAAAGGGCGATTGAGTTGAGACGTCTGCAAGAAATATATCCATTGGTGATCTCAAAACAAAAGCTATTTCGGTTAAAAAATGTTGAAGTCGGTCTTTTTAATGTACTCGCCATCATGATCTTATCGAAGTTTTTTTTTGGTTTCTTGTTGAATTTATTTCGGCAATATATTTATATTCATTCGCGATTTCCAATTTATCCCTGATCAACTATGTACCTAAATTGAGAATAATCGTCTATGAATGTGAGCAAATTATTCCTTGACATAGTTTGTATCGGACCATCCGTATGAACAATTCCAGTGCCGCAGTTGATTGACTTGAATACTTCTTAGGAAAAAGTGATCGAGCATGTATACCTTTCATACATGTGTCCCATGATGCTTTTATTCCACAATCTACAACATGTAATCCTTCAGCCAAGCTGTTCGGTTCCATTTTTCGAATTGCTGCTGGATCTCAGTGTCCTAATTTACGATGCCAGTCGTGTATATAATTTTATCCGCTTTGTTTTTGTTCAATTCAATGGGTAAACCGTTTTTAACGAAGCGGAGAACAGAGAATATCCTTCCATACAGTACTTCATTTGCGTTAGCGAATTTTAAATTGTCCATACGTCCTTAAACATCAATTTACCACTTCCTTTACCTTTAACTACCACCATTTCCCACCCCAATAACCACTGTTATGCGATAGTAAAAGCGAGTCGTGAGAATTGCATCGGTTCCGTATCGGTTTTTCTGTTGGGCAACCAATTAAATAAGTATCTAGTGTTTGTGTTTGGGTGAAATACGTCGGTGAAGCTGCCGGAGGTCTGCGGGTGGGGGCGAACCGTCCTCTTGCGTTGTCGGTTTTCTACTCGGAAATAGAGGAATGGAAAGGAAAAGGTGGAGGAGACACGCATTGATCGTCTAAGCGAAGTTAGTGTTAATTTTAAAACAATCGCGCGCGTGGAAGAGCGACGTAAGAAACAATATAAATTAGCGAAGAAGCCGCGAAAAGTTTTCATCTAATACGCATATGAGAGAAATATAACGTTCACCACAAAAGTTCATTCATTTTCTTCAACGTCCACTAGGCAGTAATAATTTTAATTATACAGGGTTAGTCATAAACGTGTGGCTCACCAAAGTGCATTTTTCTTATCACCCTGTATGTTCGATATTTTAATTGTTTCAATGTTAATCAAAACTTCTAAGAAGCATAATGCATCTAAATTCAGTCGTTTCTGGGTTATCGAGTTATGAAAGTTTGAAACAATTCGCTATTACGCTTTTTGTTAATTTCAAAATATGCCTTTTATCCACAAAGAAAAAGGGACAGAGCTTCACCGGCAATGGATATAGTCGAGAAGGCCGCGAAGAAGTCGGTACGCGTCAGCTCGCCAAGGGCGACTCGCCACCGGACCACTCGCCACCGACTGACTCGCCAACGGGACAACTCGCCAACGCGACAACTCGCCAATGCGACAACTCGCCAACGGACGACTCGCCACTGCGACAACTCGCCAACGAAATATTTTTCCCTGTTTAATGTGTCGTGTCTACAGTTTTTCGATAAACTTTTTTTTACAAAATTAGGGAAATTGACTATTGCATTTATGGGATGCATTTGTATGACACATTAAACAGGGAAAAATATTTCGTTGGTGAGTGGCGAGTTGTCCGTTGGCGAGTTGTCCCATTGGCTAGTCGGTCGGTGGCGAGTGGTCCGGTGGCGAGTTGACCGTGTCCCACTCAAGTTGTAGGTCTGGATTGTTCCTAATTTAAGAAACACTTCAAAATATTCCCTAACAAGGAAATAAAAGCGTTGTCACACCAGAGGTTGGAGTTTCGGGTCCGCACTACTTAAGAGGAATTAGTTTTAATGGTTCCAGTTCTATGGCTTCAATAATCTTTTCTTCCGGTTCCAGTCTTTTTAAATTTATTTTAGTTATTCATTTTGCGTATTTTATTTAAGGGTTCCAACATAAATAAATAAAATTAGCATTAAGCATGACTAATTATTGAAAAAAAATCATGCACAAAGTTAAAGTGCACTATTATGCGCGTTCGTCTCACCTCTGTCAACGCTCTGTCACATATTCTTCAACTCGATTACTGTTTTTAATTCATTTTCGGTATTAGTTGCTCTAAAATATTTTCAGGTTTTTTTTGTATAAGGTTAAGTTGATATAAATAAGTGGAAGCTCTGAATAAAAGTGAAAATTTTGATTTTTGATCTTTGAAATTCATTGCAAATTTTACAATGAGCGCAATTCTTGCCCAATGAAATAAATATGTTTTTTTCTTTCGCGACCTCAAAGGAAGCTCGTAAATTGCCCTGTCATCTCGGTTTTCAATGAAAGATTGGTTTAAAGGACTCATGGATATATCCACTTATAGTTCCTTTAAAATATATTGCAGTCTCAGATTGTTAATCTGACAACTGTTTGGTGAATCAACCTGGTCAAAGTGCCACAACTTGTTGAGATAGACTAGAAAAAAATCCAAAACTTTATTAACCGAAACGCTAAATACCTATCAAATAAATCGAATACCTATTTGCTGTAAAAACCTGATTCCGCAAAAAAAAACTTTTCGTTAGGAAAGAATCCTAAGTTCGCCCAAAAACGTATAATAAAAACCCATATGAGTCCTCAGATTTTAGCGTCAATGTATCCCCGCCCGCACCACTTGTTGTGCAGAGGCAACGAGTAAGGAGAAACAAACCAAAAAGTAATAGAAAAGAACAGCTACCGTCTGGTTAAATTTATCGTGGGGAAATCGAGACGATATTATGTAGGATTAGTACAAGAAGTTCTTGAAGAATACTTGTTCTTAACCAATTTTATGCGACATAAAATACAGGGTTTTTTTTATCTAGAGGACCCAGATAAATGTCCAGCCATGGCTAGATACAAGATGAAAACCATATATGTATGAACCGAAAGTTTTCCATACACCTGATGGAATGATAGATATACAAATGTTATGTACGGGTATTATACAGTGCGCAAAATTTAACTAACATACAAATCTCCTATGTTCAATTCTTAAATATACAGCTCAAATACCTCTTAAGATTTCATCTTTTTCAAATGGTTGCCAATAAACGTAAATGTCTGAATTATTTATTAAATTAAGATTATTAATTATTAATAAAATGCATACAAAAGAAGACAGGCGTATTTCAATAATCACAGGATTTATTTGCTAAATATTCTGTTATAAATTCCGTCAATTGGCACAATGCACAACAGCATTAAAAAATCTCATGTGATGATTGAATTGTTAATGAATATTACACCAGAAAAAGAACTTGAACTGTTTTAATTGTCGAAATTAAGTTAAATATTTTAGCGTAGGTACTACGTATCTAAAATAACTTCTAAGTTTTTTTTTTATTTACACTGCTGTCAATTTGTGCGTAAGGTGGGTTACATAACTGATAGGCATATTAATGCATTGACTTGTATATTTACGAATTGAACATAGGAGATTTGTATGATCAGAGTTAAAATTTACGCACTGTAGGTAGCAGCACGTTTGCATTAACGATATACTTTTTAGCGCATTTCCACAAAAATAAAAAAAAATGCGCTATTGTGGCCACTTTGTCCGTCCGTCCGTCCGTCCGCTCGTTTTGCGACGCTACTAGTTTTTTATCTTAAGAGCTATTGTTCTACTTTTTTCGCTATTTGGTTCGTTATGGTGTCGAGTCTTGTACCAAGGAAGGAATTTTTTCTGTACCGCTTACAAAAAAAGTTATTGTAACAAAAACAAAAAACCGTTTTTT